GGTCTCGAGGCTCTGCATAATGACGAACATGTCGTCGACACCAATGCCGAGTAGCAGGAATGGTAGGATCGCATGCACCGGCCCGTACATAAATCCCATGTAGAAGCACAGCCCGTAGGACGACAGAAGAGCCTGGCCGACCACGCAGATCCCCATCAGGGACAGATATATCCGCTGTTGCATCGCGTTGCAACGACTGATCATCACGATCACGTAGATCGAGATCAGCGACATGCCACAGAAAAGCACGGTCATATTGCTATTGACCACCTCGTGCAACATATCGTCGTAACTACGTAACGTGACCGCATAGATCTCCATACCCGTCGGAAGAGTGCGATTCGAATGTAGTACCCTATTGATGAATTCCACTTCCCATTCCGGCGAGTGCGGATTGGACTTCTTCAGCACCCAGTACAAAATCGTCGCTTTCGCACTCCTCACCTGTCCATTCTCCTCGTACTCGACGCCCGCCAGCAACGGTGCAATGTCGGAAAGTATATTTTTAGCATTTCTGCGTAGAACAAACTGATATGTAAAAAAGAGGAATAAAAAGATACATCAATTAATGTAACGTTTCATTTTATCTTAACCTCGTGTGATGTTTAATTGAGAAAAAAAAGTTAAAAAAGGTAATAATAATAAAATTAATGAAGCGTACAATTGAACGCAATGTTTATCGCGTAATTGCATACTGCAGAAATAAAATCTTTAAAAAAAAATTTGTTTAACTATTTTATTCAAAAATATATTAGAAAGCTCATTTTTTCATCAAATCTTATTTCTTATAAAAACTAAAATATATTATGCTACAAATTATATTAAATTTTACTTTATTTTGAGCGACTTGATTACATTGATTTCGTTATACAAAATTTCAGATACTCACGTATGTTGCATAGTTGCAGTTATGTCCTCTAGTATCTCTAATTTTGTCAAGTTATCAATATCCTTTCCACCGTCTTTCTGCCATAGTTTTAGAAGCGATTTTTGGACACAAGGTTCCTTCATCATTGTATCATTTATAAGTGGTAGATATTCCTCGGGAAACTCGGTTTTATTCATCGTTTCCCACTTGTCATTTTCTTGGAACCATGTGAAATGTCTGTAATATGTCGCAAACATTTCAATAAATTTATATAAAATAATGATCAGATATTTTCACGTATATAGAAAAAATATTTACCCTGCACACACATCTTCCCAGGAATTATTATTCACCACTATACTCTTTACATCTTTTTCAATGTCTCTTATCTGTAATTAATTATCGATCATTATAATGTAATCATTATTCAAACAAACTATTTATAACGTGCTTCTTCACCAGATCGAAATGATTAATTACACAAATATTATAAAAATCAGTAACAGTCATGAGCAATAGAATTAATTAAATCATTCGTTCAATATAATGTACATATATAGTTAATTTTATTTAAATGGAAAAAATGTATAAGAATGATGCTCGACAATCAGTGATTGATCTTGAAAATTAAAGAATTAAGAATTGTGATTTGCCGAGAAAATTTTAAACAAATGTGATGAATAATTAGCTTGACTATCGCGAGAAAAATCGTGTGATTAATGTGAAAAAGAACCTTCGTTGATACACGTATAATTCATGATCGCTTATGTACCGATCGCAGCACTTTAGGGTCCAGCACATTGGGGGCAGTGATGAGGATACTTTCGTGTCGGAGATCGTCTCGGAAGTGCTCCTTCACCCAGGCGGCATCCTTGCGAAATATAGAACCGACAGGCATGAAAAGTTCGATATCGTCGACCTCCTCCCTCCAGAGCAACAATCCGAAACCACAGACGAGATTTAGGCACACGCATGTCGTCAGCCAAATCCATGGTTTCGTGGCTATACTATATCCGATCCTAAGGAATGCACAAACATAAAAAACAAAAAACGAAAATAGAAAACATTTAATAAAAATATAACGCAATTTTAAAAATAAGAAATGATAAATGTAACACAAAATCGATAGAAGTACAAATAAACTCAGTGAAGCATTGATTTCGAGTTCATCAAAAAATCTATTATTAAAATTCGATTCGATGCCAGCCGAACACGTTTATGTATTAAATCATATAAATTCAATCTGTAATCGTGAGACAGTAATCAATAAGTTAACTAACGTCGAGGGCAATGATCTTCGAATTGAAGAAGACAAAAGAGAAGATGAAGATGTCGTCAGAATTGATGATCTTGTACAATTTCATCTTAGCAATACGTTTCAAATAATGGCTTTTATTTTTCATGTCTACTAAAACTTTTTACAATAACGCGCGTTTCTGTTCATTTGTTTCTGAATTCATAATCTATTTTTTCTTCAATATTCAGAAAAGATTACATATTTATATAAAAATATCTTATATATGTTTAACAATTCAACATTTACCTATAAGTTATGCAACACACACATTTATGATATATATTATATTTCTAATAATTTTTTTCACATAAATATTCAGATAGCTTTGTATCGATTTATTTTTGCAGTTTTTGTACGAGAATCTCAAAATAGAAATATATAAGGTATGATTATAAAATAAATATAAGTAAATGATAATAATACTTGATATTACGCAAAGTTGCACAGCGTAGTTAATTTTATTTATATCGTTAAGTTATTCCGTATTCATTGCATCAGAAAATAAAAATGCATGCATATCGATCATTCATGTTATTAATTTTCACAACTCAGCTGATTTAATTTTTCACGTCATAATTATATTACTATCAGCGTTATAAAAAAATCGAATTTTTTAAATTAACGTCTTGTTTACTTACTTACTTTTTTACTTACATGTGCAATGTGCAGATATTTAAAAATTTACTTCTAAATACTAATTAAATGCATTTTTTATAAGATAACCTTGATTGCACGATTCATATTTATCGATTAAGATGAAATACAACTTCTTTTTAATCAAGTCTACTGTTATCTAGGCCACTTAAGTTACCAATTAATAGCTAATTAAGGACAAAGCAGACATGCACCTCCGCATGCATCAATAAAGCTTTTAAGATTGTTTTGCGCTGCCTTATAAAGCAAATCTCCGACATTCTCAGACACGCGAAGACAATCTTAAGAACGCACAAGATCTCAAGACATTATGTAATACAATGTACATCAAAAATTAACGGTTTCCATAGTTCCGGGACACGCTATAAAGATTGAAAGGAGATGACGTATTAATAATGACGAAGTAAAAGCAAAATATCAAAGAGGACGAATCTTAATGATAGATTATTAGAAAGTGCAGTTTATATTTACATTCAGGACACTTGTTAAGAATAATGATGCTGCAGTATATCTTCAACAAATGAAAAAGACATTTAAAAATATCGAAACGCAAATTAAATTTAGAATATAAAAATAAATTTTGAGGATAGTAAAATCTAAGTTTCCACAAAATTATTTTTTATGCACTTGCAAAATTTTAAGGTCATTTAATGTCACTTTTTTTTTAATTGCTGAACATTTAAAAAATTTACATACATAACTTTATACAACTGTACTACTTGATAATTTTTGTTCAAAAACTTAAAAAATTATCAGCATCAGAACAAAGTTATCATCCAGTGAAAAAAAATTGTTCAAAAGTTTGCTGAACCAGCACGATATTCTTAATATAATTACTCAACAAAATATTATTTCTGAGGAATTTGCTTAATTGGCAATGAAGCATCAAGAATTGTGAATCAAGCGCGATGATCTGGCTGTGATGTTGCGATCACGAAAATTGGCTGAAACCCGTGTTAACCCAGTAATAGTTAATATACGTGATTATGTCATCTTTTTTTTTTTTTTTTTTCTCTTATTTGAGCTTGATTATCTCAGTGTGTGTTCCAGAAACAGATTTATGAGAATACGAAAAAATTGCTCGAGTCTAATAATCTCATTATTTTGACATATTGAATACGATATAAAATTAGAATAACTTCTTTGGTCCTGATTTGTAAATAGAATCAGATATATAAAAATAAATAAAAAGAATTATATATCGTTGCAAATGAAAACATATAGTATAATTATAATTATTAATATACAATTTTACCAAAATAAATATACTGCAGAAAATATTTTCAAAACGGATACTTTGATGGACTCAGAGATGATTTTCTTTATTTTTTTTTAATTCTTCCAAATTGATAATGATAAGAATTCTAAATCGTAGCTATCTTAGAGATCGATAACAGCAGGTGCACCACCAGGTGAATGTTTACCGAAGCACCAAATAATCATGCGTGCAATATCGTTCGCTCCGATAATAGCATTATCTGTAATGTATATTCGCAATATTTACAACATCTACAGTATATTATCTCTTGCTTTCAGTAGCAAAAATAGGACCTTCCCTATATTTCACGTATCAAGATGACTTATGACATTTGATGCATACATAATGGAACACCGCAATGAGCAATTAGAAACATAATGGATTCTCGATGTTCATTTCGTTTATCATTAATTTTCGCATTTAACAAAAAAAATTGTTTATTGATGTTTGCTTCACATAGTGAAGTATAATAATGATCTTGTAAACACAAACTGTGCAGAGAATTAAAAAGATCGTCGTGGAAGAAATAGAAGTGCGATCTTCGACTTACTCAAAGTCCCTTTAAATCTCCTCGGAAGGTCCCTTTAATCGTGAGTTTCACCTGTCTCGCGACACTTAATGTTGCGAAAATCAATGATAGACGAAATGAAATGTACTTTTCATTAACGTAATGTAAGCAAAAAAAGATAGTAGATATTGATATTGATATCCAAATGGATATTGAATATTGATAATTCATGAATGGAATGGAATGGAATATTGTTTCAAATTAATGTTTATATTATGAGATTTAATTAATTTTCTTTTCTCGAAAAGAATATATTAAATAATACTTAAATAATGTAATAAAATAACGTAATAAAATAACGTGTAATATAAAAATTAAAGATTTGTCTGCTTTATAACTATAGAATTACGAGTACAAGTAAGATATTCCGAGCTTATCTGGATGATCTATCTGATCTGGCATCATCATTCATGAATTTCTCTAACGACTTGGAGTAGGTTTTTGCTTTCAAGTTTTGTACTTTCGACGTCAAACGCTTTTCCAATCTTAAAGGTGTGATAGAAATTTTTTGCTGTAAAATTTATTTGTAAAACTATCTATTAATTAAGAATGTTTATTTTATTATTAAGAATGCAATTAAAAAAATATCTACTCGCTTTCACTTTACTTCAGTTGTATTTTCTAGATTTCATTATGAAAATCGTGTTCTAAATGTTAGAATGAAACGGATGCGCATCCGCTTGAAAGCAGTCATCATTCCAACAGAAGATGCATAAAGATACAACCGAGCACACTTAGCGTGCATTACTACGCACCAATGAATTCAACTGTATTTGTTTCAAGCTCGCTTTTTTCGGCTGCGTTTATTACACCTTCTAAACTCAAAACAGAATAAATAAACATGGATTCCAGATCGGAATAAGTCGAATAGGCATTGACATTGAAATTTTCAGAGGAAAGAGAATATTAAAGTTGCGAGAAGAGATACCAAACCGAAACTGAGTAGAGACAGACTTTCCGAAGCGCCGCAAATAAACGCGGCGAGCGAAAAGCAATGCGGTGTGAGTACCTAATAAACAATGCATTCTCCGATGGCGGAAATCGAGCGACAGGTCGGGAATCGAGCGATAGGGTTGCAAGGGGACCCCTTCCCTTCGGTATGCGTTTCATACGTACATGCACGCCCGGGTTTCCGGGGGGGTTTTCCCCCCGTGGTACACACGTCGCACACTCACCGATAGAATATCCGGTCGACGTTGAAGTGAAAGTCGAGCAGCAGTTCTTTGCAGCGGCTCCACGTGACGCCGGGTACACCACGCTCTTCGTCGGCCACCGTTGTGACGGCCGTCGGTCGGCTGACACGGCGAGCCTCCATTTCGACGGTGCTCACCGCCGCGTCCAAATGTTGACTGAGCGCTTCTCACGGGCGCCTTTGTTGCCTGGCGGACCGACCGACTGACTCGAACGGAACGAATCGCGAATCTCAGCGGCGCTCGCAGTAGCGCCGTGTCCGTCGTGTCGCGTGGGGACGTGTATTACGCACGTGTACTACGTAGATACACGCGTCGCTGACAGTACATTGGTTGTCAAGTGACCGGCAGGAATGACACTCCGTACTGAGTTAATGATATCATTATTCGTGCCTTGTTATTAAAAAAATTTCATGTGGCGCGAACAGCCAGGTTGATAGGATACTCGTAGCTTCCGATTTGCAGTCCGGAATGCATGAAATCGTATTAATCCGTTGCTAGGTTTGGTTGCGCAAGCGATATACTTTTCAGTAATTTCGACCAAGCACCAGAGAGATATCTTCGTAGACGATCTGTTATGTAACATCCGAAAGATGTCCGATCCAAGAATGCTCTTGTTTTTCAGAGCTCTGTCACACTCAAGTTGCTTCCAAAGATTCCGCTCCGATAACGAAAGGCAGCCTCACACTATGAATTCTGTGTTTCAATGCGTAGGAGTAGCGACGAGCTCTGAAAAACATTATTCAAATATATACAATATACATTATACACAATATATACAAATACAATATTATTTTTATCATGCTAATAGAACGAGGTCGCATTTTTGATCGAGATAATTTTAGATTTTGTTCGGTCCAAATATTAGGAAACTGCCATCACCAAAAGTGCATAGTCGAACATTGCACACACATCATTATACATAAATATATAAAAGTGCATATATAGCTAACGTTCAGGTAGTCTGTCAGACGCTAAAAGTAACCGATGTTTGCTCTTTTGTTTTTTCGCAACCGACTCATTGTCAGTCGTTCGCTTCGTATTGTCAACGATTAAAGTCCGAATTTTTTATTCTATTCTATAAAATAATTTAAAAAATTTGCGAGATTACAACACGTTACCGTAATTTTATGCGTTTCTAATGATATATAGTAAATTATTTCATCTCAAATAATTTAATAATCAAGGTATCAATAAATATCATTTATATATAGCGAAATACTCCGGACGTCAAAACTCTCAACGTCAAATGAAATAACAGTTGTGATCTAACGACAGTGCACAGTGCGAATGCACCGGATGAGTGTAAATATATGCAAGTACATATGCACCGAACGCTGTCATTGCATCCGAATGTGCGGGGAGATGCGGCGGTAATTGTTGGCATAAATGCAATGAATGAGTACAAAGTATAGGTCAGTGAGCGAAACATTTATCGGTGTTTTGGCACAATAATCCAAGTGCAAAATACCACATTTTCAACAATCGAAATATATCGCGAAGATAAAGAAAATATTTAAGATAACAAGAATAATTGGAGTTCAGTAGAAAAATGAGGAAGTTTACTTTTATCGTTGCAGAATCAGTTGCAGTTTTCTTATTAATTAATTCGAATCATTAAGTTGTTCGAATCACAAAGTAGTTCTGTAATATCTCATTGAGAAATACCTGTCTATTTTAAACTATCATTACAACAAGCGACAATATGTTGTTGAGCGTGTGCGAAACTATAATCATGTTAAATGTTATTTTTTACAAGGATTGTTTACGATACGAAGAGTGACTTTTTATTACAACCCTTCCGTCCGACTTCTTGAACCATGCTCTGTAATCAGACTGAAGCAGCCTAGTAAAACATGCGCGAGAAAAAGACGGCAATATCATATCTATACAAGTCATATTCAATTTGCATTTACGTTACGTATCGCGTGATTAACTTGCGAACCGCGTACAAGATATCCGCAAATTCCACACAGAGATTCCATCGCCACAATTAGATGCGTCAATACAGGAAAGTAACATAAGGAAAATATCTTCTTTAATGAGTAAATCGTCAAATAAAAATTGCGCATAAAAAGTAAACCTCAGATTTACATTTCGGTTTCGCTTTCCTCGTCACGGAAGAAAATCTGATCGTACTCTCCTCTCATTTGAAATAGAGAAATTGCAAAAAGCTACAGCTAAAATGCGCAGTCTGCGATCTACTTTTTCAGCGCCCAAAATAATCATTGAAACCTCGACCTTGTGGCCGGTCTTTCGTGCATTTATAAAGTCGGATAAGTCGAATAAGTGAGAAACCGTACGACACTATTGCATAACAGTCTGATATAGTTACGAGAAGTTGCGCGAGTACACGTGCACCGAACGCAAATGCGTATAATGATGCACCGGCAATTAATCATCCGCGATGCTCCCACGTCAGTATTTCCTTCACAATGAATACGGAGACACGTCTCTCACGCTTTCCTTTCCAAAGATGTTAACGAGAGAGATTTGTACGTGATTAATTTCAATGAAACAATTTAGATTTCGATTATAGGACTCATTTTCAATTTAATTCCAACAGAATTTAATTCAATTCTAATAAAAGAATCTCTTTTTAATTAAGATTATAATTTCGTTTAATTAGAAGCAAATTTCGATCAATTAGAATTAATTGTGAGAGTTTAGCAGTACAAGGTGAGAGATGAAGATGTGTGGAATAATGAATACGTAGCATCGAGTATCACGCAATTATAAGTTTCGCGGTCACGATGAAAACGAGACTTTCGTTGGAAAGCCGCTTCTACTTCGTCGCTAGACGTATAAAGATGTATTTATAGAGAAGCGATGACGATGGATATATAGGTATGCATGGGGTCATGATCCTGAAAAGCTCAAGCTCTTTACTCGCCGATGCGATAATGTTATTTACGACAGATTCAACATCGATACTTTGCATAGATACGCATCACACATCTGTCAAGTGCGACTGTCCGGAGATAATCTGGAAACAACAACGAAGGTAGTATTCATCAGAAAAAATTAAATTCAGGGTCGAATCATTACATTTCATATTAAGCGCGATATCAAAGAGTCGATTAAAAAACATTCGTGATGCTAGTGCAAAGTTGAAGTATCGTCGTCCGGCTTTGAGCGATTTTGCCGCGAGAAAACCGGGTGATCACATTTTTATTTAAATGCGATACTGACCGAAGATGGTAATGCGAGCCGATTCCGTATCCCATTATGTACGATGCTCGGTAGGATCGGACGATCACCGGGCTGTATCGAGGCTGGACGATGAACATCGTGCGATAACGAACGGTAACTGGATCGCTTTGTTTCTGTTGCCTTTCGATAATGCCGAAGTAACTTTCAAATGCGTCTCGGTCTAACTACGTAATCAAGCTTTCCTAGTTGCATTTTTTCGGGAAAAAATTCTACGCGTCTGTAAGACGCCGGTCCTCGGGCGAGGAAAGAAGAAGAAACTGCGACTTTTTATCGCGATGCACGCCGAGAACTGGTTTGCTGATCGCTTATCTAATATGTGTGGCACACACTATAAAGAAGCCGAATAATATTATCTTTGAGCACAAGGAGAACAAAAGGTCTTTATCTGTTATGCGTCTGCTACTTTGCAAGAAGACGCCGATTTATCTTTGATAAAATGTACTGGCTCGGGAATAAGCTCGAGAATAGAAATTGAGAGCTCAAACATTGAGATAAATATGTAGAAAGTATCTCTTCTACTCGTTCTTCTAAATAACAGGTTCGACTTGCTCTCGGTAAAAATGTCGAAAAATCTCTTTGGAGAAATTATTAAGAAATAAGAATCAAAAAATTTGCAGCCACATAAATTTTGGAAGAGGAAATACATAAGAAAATTATATTCTTCAGTCCAAGAACTTTAAACTGAAAATTCATTGTAACTGTAAGAATTGCTTCGTACAATACGCTATTTTCGTCTTCATATTATAATGCCAAAAACCTTCGTAGATATTTAAATCCTAAAAATGTCTTCTTTCTTAAGTTAAAATGGAAGAATATGCAACGTTGTTCTGGACAATTTTCCAGGTGGAATCTAAGAGAATTATGAATCTAGACAACTTCTAAATCATGATTTAGAAATATCTAAACGCGTTACGCTTATTAGCACCTTATTCCGCTACTATAAAATCTCATCAGTCTGAGGACTGCGTGTCACCATCAGCGACGATGAATCGCATCTGTCCCCGTTCACAGAGCTTATGGAGGCTAAACAAATCGTCTGGGATCCGCCTGGACCCGAGAGGGGGGGGTCGAAAAGGCGAATTGAGCTAGCGCTCCGCGCCCCTAAGTAGGTCTTTGGCTACCAAAGACCGTTAACCGACTCGCGACCTTCGACAAACAATTTGTACGCGGTTTGTCCCCCTACAATAATCGTGCGCTTCGTGACCCCGGCGCAGGTGACCGGATCTCACGACACACTGCGCTCAACCAGCTCTAGACGGGGCGAACTCAAGATACGATACCAGTTACGCCCGATCGACTCGGAGAACCATAATCGCGAAGAGCAGGTTGCTCAGTTCGGATAAATTTATATCAATGAAGATACCAGATGTTGAATAACTGAACTCCATTCCGCTTTTACTCGTTTCATTATGCAATTTTGATGATTGCGATAATAAATAAAAGGTTGTACATTTGGTACAATTAAATTTTAAAAATTAAGAAAAATTGAATTTAGATTCCTACAAAAGTGAGCTAAATTTTAACAAATTTAACAATTTTAAACCGCAAAAAAATTAATTTTAATTAATTTTTTACTATTGCCGAACAATTAATATCACTCGATTACGCGAAAAAATTCTAAAACTATCAGAATAATGTTCTCTGACATTCTCTCTCCGTTTTTATCCATTTTTTTCGAGAAAGGAACTCTTGCTGAAAGAGGAAGAATACAAAGGTGACCTTCGTCTATGCTAATCATTTACATATTTAAAAGGTTTTCCTCCCACACAGATTCCTTTGCACCTCTCGATTCTCCTTTTCCGGGATTACCGATTAACCGGTTGACCTTCAAAAGACCAGATAGGTCAAATACCATTGGATGACCGACGACTCGTCACCGATTGCTTCGTTCCAATACAATGCAACCGGTCCTTTCGCGAAACGAAAGGGGAGCTCGGGCGAGTTGCCAGGTGAAGTATGAGGTAAACCGGCAACCACCGATGGCGAAGAGGTGTCAAGGTAGGGAGTTCACTCCGGAGTGAGTGCCTTTCCCTGTTGGTTCGTCCCGACGTTTCAGTGCTCCTGGTGCCGCACCGACCGATGGGACTCGTTGTCTTCTCGCGCGCGCTGTCGCGATCAAAGAAACACACGAGCGTTTCGTCCGCACGGGTGGTATCGGATCAAGTTCAACGATCGGCGTGCTGATCGATAGCACGTCGGCTAATCGCATCGTCGGTTCGAAATCACCAGTGTGAGTAATACGCGGTATATTAATATCGTCTTGGGTAAAAGTCGAATTTGTCGGACACATATTTTAGATAAAGATGCTAAAGGAAAGATGCTAAAACAAGTTGAATATTTATGTGTCTCATTTATCATACGTTCTGATACTCGATAATTGGCAAGTGCTTGATACATCCTGTTTTATACGTTGCAAAAATTCGCACCGGTGTTTCAGTGGAAAATTGAAGATGCATATCATATGAAGTTCATAAATCAAAATTTATGTTTCACGATCGTAATCCGGAATATTCAAGTCGCATCGGAGAAGATTCGAGGTCTTAATTAGTTGTAACTCTTAATTAATAGCGTAAAGTGTTAATTAATCGCGACAGTGGTATATCATCAATGCAAAATGAAGTGTGTGGAAAACGTGCCAAGCAAAGTAACTGTATCTTTCTAATGATAAATCTGGAATTAATAATCATTTGAAACTAAAGCAAAGAAACCAAGAAAATTAGTGCTTAATTTAGAAACAGTAATTAATTATACTGCGCGAGTAAAATTCTGTTGTTAGTAATATTCTTCTCATTGAACTCCAAGTGACGTAAATAAATTAAAATAATGAGATAAATTACATAAAAAATTAAACAGATATTAAATTTTAACTGAGAAATTGTTAATTAAAAATTTTATGCATTTTAGAAATTGTTTATATCATGCGGGAACATGTGAAAAAAATATGTGATTAATTTTGATCACATTTTGCACAATTAATTGTTTTTTATGTTATCGAATATTTGGATTTGAAAGTAGGCCAAATAAAGGCGAACACCTGCGTGACATGTTTCACAAGAACGACCGAATTTGAGGTCAATAATTCAAGTGGATAGTGCACTATTGAATTTCATTCGAGTACCGAATTTCCAATGGAATTAACGGTTTTAGAAAGCCGCGAAACAATTAATAGAACAGGAACCGTGCATACAATCAAAGAATGATTTGCATCAGCAGTCAATTACCGGAGGAATGCTCGCACAGAAGATAATACTTTAACATCATTATTTGAGTCAACTTTATAAAATTAAAATTAATATAAAGTGACCTTAAAAAGTTTTCTTTAAAGGGTATATAAAGTATACATTGGTTGTTAGTATCTAAAAAATTCGTTTATATGTTAGAGAACGATTTGTTACTCTTGGCAGCGTCTTTTAAACATTTCTGTTTTCTAGGTAATTGTCAAATAAATTTAGAAATAAAGCCTAGAAATAGTTGGTTAGTAGAACTGAACTAGTTGGCCGAAAGTTTTGCACGTACATGTGCTATAATAACTTGGCTCATTTAATAAATAATTGTGCGGGAGACAGCTTTTAATTGTCACGCTTTGCCTACATACATAGCTGCACTCTCATTCGAACTGTATTCAAAAAGCTGGACAACTTGTGGAATCTGTGCTAATAAAATTTCTTATCTTACCGTTACTATATAAGATTTCCATCGGTATGCAAGCAGTTCACGAAAAATTTGTATATGTCCATTTATAAATATAGTTTTCCGTTCTAGATTCAAATTTTGACATAAATTTCTAAATACATTTTTATCTAAATCATTAATAGCTTTGTAAAAATGTTTCTTTTCTCGCGATGATATAAGCAATATTAAATACTCCAATCAAATGACGAAACAGAGATGAAAGATATGTAAAATTGCATATATACATAATATATATATACAATATATATATATATATATTGCATGTTGTATATCGCTAAGAAGATCGCAAAGTAATTGGCTGAGGAAACTAATTGCTCGTAAGATTTAGAGAAATTGAACGAAGAGAAAATTGTCGAACTAAAAAGGAGATCAGCTTCCTCTATTAAATATGAAGCATTCATCGAGCGGAAAGGCAGAAAAGTATATCTTACGTTCTCTAACGTGACGAAGCAATCACACGCACTCTCAGACGCAGCCGGGTAACTTCGGACATGGACCCAAATACTCTCTCTCCTTGAAGTGCGGACCAGGATGCGCGTGGCTTGTTTGCTCGAACGGTTCGTCACTCTCTCTCGGAACGGCTTTTCCCTTCCGTTTTGGGGTCGCGTTATCCACGGAATCGGTTTGCACAAGTACTTTCAACCGAACTTTGCCTTCCTAAGCAAATCATTATATTTCATTAAAGCAACATGGAAACATTAATTTGTCTGCTATTTTTGACAAAATTATTTTGGCATTGTAAAATCTAGCTAAAATTATTTTGACGACTTCGATTTCTATTTACACAATTTTATGTAAATTTTATGTGTATTTTTCTGTGAATTTTCTTTCTATATCGTAGCTTTATTATCAATGTTATAATAGAATTCTTTAAAAATATGCCAAGAAAAACAAAGAGAAAGAGAGAGTCGGTGAAACAAATTTATAATGTTTTTAGTTGGAAATAGGACATTATTTGAATCAGATTAATTAAAGAAATTCTCATTGGGATTATTCCCGCGCGTTTATAGTTAGTGCCTCACCTTGACCGAAGAAAGTGTTACACTGCCAGTCCGATGTGTGTGACGCATCACGACACGCATCGTCAGTCCTCGATTTATCTCTTCGATCGCTTGCAGCTGTCAAATCGAACCGCTCAATAAAGTCGCCGCGAAAATTAGCGAATGACTCCGGCGAAATTGCCTTCGGGGAGGCGTTCTCTCGTCCCGTTCCACTTACATCGTTTTACCGCAACGAGTAACAGCAAAGAAGCGCACGTAAGAGCGTCGAACAGCATCTAGACAATCGCTGATTACGTGCGCGAAGCGCATCCTTTCTTCTCTTCGTTGTAACACGCTAAAAATCTCATGCATTCGTTCCGCTGAAATAGCGGTAATTCACAACTATCGACTTTTACCGAGAATATGCCTATTAAAAATTCGCTGCCACTAATTACGTTCGTCAAAGTTTTTGAAATAATATATTAATTAATAATAAGATAATTTTTTTAGTAAAATAAAATTTTAAAAATCTTTGCATACGTAAAATCCGATACTGATAATATTTCTAAAAATAATAATTCTAATATTTTTATCTTAGATTGCAACTGTTGTTATGTAATTTTATAATTTTTTTTATTTAAAAATTCCCCTTTTTCCAGAACTATGATCAGACTTGCGATTCTCGTCCTCGCGATTGATCTGGCGAATAGCCAGCTCAACTACGAGGGAAACCCGTTTACGGAGTATACCGAGTACATCGCAGAAGAAAGTAATCTCTCCGAGAGATCTGCCAAGGAGAATAACAGCCCAATTAACCTGTCGAACTCCGGAATATCATCGCATCCTCAGAAGCTGTATCCAATCATGGAATCCAAAAGCGACAAGAGTTTTCAACAAGTGGCAGAAACCGACCAATCGCAAGGACAAGCTTCGCTTTCGGTTCCGAGCTTCCGATCGGATGTCGGTCGACAGTTTCAGGTCTCCTCCGATCAAGACTCGCAGACCAATCCGGCGGAGGTCGCATTGAACACGTTCCTAAACTCTAGAACACCCGAGGAATCTCGAATGTCGCTCGATCATTATCTTCGCAGCCAGACATCGCAGCATCAATTTCAACCCTCGGACGCGATCGTCAGCCAGAATGAAAAATCGATCGAGCAATTCGACACGCAGCAACAAATGCTCCAACAGCAGCAACAAATGCTCCAGCAGCAGCAACAAATGCTCCCACAGCAGCAACAAATGCTCCCGCAGCAGCAACAAATGCTCCCGCAGCAGCAACAAATGCTCCCGCAGCAGCAAGCGCTCACGGCCCCCCAGTTGGACCAGCAGGTACAGCTGACGTCGCATGTTAACCAGGGTGGCCAGGTGGTGTCGCAGTTGGTCCCGCAGGTCGAACAACAACGGCAGCAATTAATGCCGGTCGCCGGGCAGACTTTCGGTTACGCGAGACCACCGCTAGCAGCGGTTCAACCGGTGATCAGAGCGCCCGCGGGAGTCATCGTGGAACAGGGAATATTGCACCCGGTGCCGCTGGTATCCGGCTTCCAGACCAGGAATAACGAACTAATAACGCCGGCGATGTGGCGAGAGAGGATGAGGCGGATCCGCGGGAGGCCGTTCCCCTTCGCGCAGTCCAGAATAGCGCCGGGATTGTACAAAGGACCGATGGCAGGTAAGCCGCAGAAAGAAAATAGCAGTTTTAGCAAAAAGAGGGAGAAAGAGGGAGGTGTAGCCTTGAAGATAAGACGGAATAACAACTTTTTACAAACTGTTTTTAAATAAGGAACCTTCAACTTCTAAGGCAAAAAATTTTGAATTTAATTATTAAATATCTACATTCATCAATCACGGCTTTTAAGTAGCTTCTTGTGTGATTTTTGTCTGGAAAACAGCAGTTATTCCTACAAAAAATATTATTGCTTGAATCTAGCTCGCATTCGGACTTTCCTCTTTCTCAATTATTATTCTAATAAAAAAAAAATGATTAACTAATTGCGAATATTATCCAAATAGCTCATCCATTACACAAATTCTGTTTAGGATAAAAGGATATTTCTTCGTTAATATTATATTAATTATCCTAAAATTGAAAAGATTGTATTTAAAATATGTTCATAATTTAATATTAAATTATTTTTTACAACTAAAGTTAAATTATTCTTATAAAAACGTTTTTAAAATTATTCGCTAATTTTTCAGATATTTTACGGCTTACATAACGATAATAGTGTTTTAATGACACCGTCCAAAGTGCGTGAAACATTGTAGAAATGTGACCTTTAACTTGATATTATAAGAGGAATGTGCATTACATCATACGTGCCGCGTTGTATTTATACCAAGACTTTTTTTGGTAATTTTGTTCTAGACGTCAGATAAATACTTTCCATTGTCCATGCCTTTTTTGTAGCTTCTCTACAGTGACAAATTCTTTGTGAATGTGACAAATCTGCATGTTAAATATACATGTCTACATGTAATTTCATTCTCACTGCTTAATCACTCATGAAGTCCCATGCCATATACATAATTTACACCGAAAAAGAAACCAACATTCAAGAACGAATATTTGCTGTTCTGTAATTTAATATATTCTATATTTGGAAACATATATTTTTCTTCTGATAATAAATTATTTCACCGATTTCATAAATTGATCACTGATGTTTAAATTCAATTGTCATTCAAAATGAAAAGATGTATTAAAAACGTATGATATTAATGTCTTTTAATAACATCTATTCGTGCGACGATTAATCGATAACTTTCCTGGTAAAATATCGCTTATGCAATGTATACTTTTTGTACTCAACTGAATAATATGGTGCGCGTTTGCATTGCAAAACAGACACGTAAAACATAATCAACATGTAAAATATAATCAACATATCACTCATTTGCTGCAACGAACATAATTCAAAAATCATGATTTTCCAGAAAATGAGAGTTTAATGTTTAAAATCGTTATAATTTTGGTAAGAACATCATTTTGAAATGCCATATTGTACAATAACATATTGCGGTGGGACAAAAGTATTATAATATTGTTCTAGCAATAAACAGTACAAGCAAGAACCATTTTTTCTATATCAATAACTCAAAAACGGTAATTTTAAGTTATGCTATTGCTGCAGCGAATGAACGATATCGCGATAAAAAAAGTACAATTTTCTTTTCCTTAATAAAAAATCAAATCACTTTCTGGATGCCTTAGTTCCTTTTAAGCCCAAGGCACCGGTGGAGGTGATCTATACGAAGCCACCGGGTTTCTATCGCGGATCACCGATCATCAGCAATCCGCCGGTCGCCTACGAGGACGCGAGCGCCTGGTTCCCGGATGCTAATCGTCCGCCACCCAACAAGGACGTCTACTACTCGCAATTGTACGCGCAATCCTACGATCCTCACTATTACAATTACATCGCCACGACCGGCAAGATCCGGCCGCACCTCTACGGAAAGCTCGGCAGGCATCCAGAGGAGAAGGAAGACGGCATCTGGTCGGAGCTGTACCGCGGCTTCAAGAAGCACGGCTTGAAGAACATCATGACGCCGACGTTCCTGCTCGGGATGACGCTTCCGGTGGTGACCCTCATGCTCTCCGCTCTCGTGCAGAAGCGGTCGATCGCGCGGTCGGACGGGGCGCGCGAGCTGGACCAGGAGGACACACTGCGGGAATATCTCGAGAGACTGCAGAGAGCGATGGAGTGTTACGACGGTAGGAGTATCCGTGACGCGAAACCGGACGGGTGCTAGGGTCAAGGATGTATTCTAATGCTAAGCGAGCCGCTGAGCGGAATAGTGATGCGCCTTGTGCGAGGTGACACGCGAGAAAACAGCTCGGCCTTAACGCCAATACGAAGAATTGCGTCGATTAATCAGGCGACAAGAAGCGTTACAACACTCTGAAAAGCTATTTTAATATTTATTTATTATGTAACACGAGATAATAAGCGTGCTTCTTATTCCTTTATTTCTATAAAAGGCTACCGTTCACATTGGAACACTGGCTTTCTTTTTCGCGCATCATCATACTTCTGTTTCGCCCAGCAGCTCAAATGTGGCCGTTTGATTCTGAGATTTATTTATCTAACACCCGAGGATCACGCTTATTAATTTCAATTAAGACTAATTGAACAGCCACATGAAAATATGGATTTTGGTGCTTAAATCGCAATGAATCGAATGAATGAACATCGAATCGAATCTGCCTTCCGAACTGAATCTCACTCCTTTAGTCTTTCGATTCATAATACTCGTAGAATCTTATATTAACGCAATTGATCAAAGATTGCTCAAAATTGCATAGATTAGTAGATAATTTAGTAGATAATCGCGAGATAAAAAAGTTCGATAAGAAAATTCTTCTCTACAGATTACAACACGCAATGTATAAAAACACAATGCAATCCAAATCAACGGCTTCAGCTAAAGAGAGTTGGAATTATACGAATATTTTGATTACTACATAATGAAACGACAATTCGAGAAATACAGCATAAAACAGCATTTTGCACACGGCTTATTACGTGCGTTACCGCAGTTACTCTCGCGATCACTATAGTACAGATCTAATGAATACACCACGCGTTCTCGCAATGTGTTATTAGTGTTATACAAGACCGGCGTCTTTTCTCTGTCTGTCGCAAGTCATTAGTTATTACTAAAAAAAGAAAAATTCTTTTTATTCCTCCCTCGGTTTAAATTTAGGAGTATTAAAATAACAAAAGGCGAGCTAGGCTCGCCGATGTTGCTGCGTCGCAAACACACTGTGTATATAATACGTATTTAATACAAAGATATAATATATTCGCGTTAACTAAAGCACACACTCTGAGTTCTTCATTCACCGTCCTTAGAAAATATTCCCACGTGATGCATCAACGAGAAAACGAGCGTGGAATTCTTCCCTTTTTTCAGGGCACGCTAGTGAAATCAGCGTGAGAAGACTTTCGCGCTTTAGTCATCTCTGTGCCTGTTCGCACGATAAATGTAGATAAAGTGAAAGAAGAATTAATTATTGCTCTAATAAAATTAATTAATGATTAGTCCTCGATGTAAATGTAATCTTCATTCATAAAATTTATTGCACAGGTAAATGTAGATTATTTATCGAAATAAGGCGGAAGAGAGAAGTTTAGCTTTCCCTCGCAAAAAGATGCAGTGAAACACGAAGTAAAACTGCCTTTGGATTCTAATCATGAACATGCAACCCACGTTTCCTATTGCATATAGACTGTCATCTAATTTATAAGACCATTAATACATGGTCAGACTAATGT